AGTTGTATACCCATGTTCATAGACATAAACTGGAGGATTCCACCTATGTGAAAGATCTAAAGCAGTCAAATTCACAGAAACAGAAAGTAGAATGGTGATTGCCAGGGGCTGGGGAAGGGGGAAATGGGCAGCTGATGTTTAATGGGAACAAGGTTTCAGTCTCACATGATAAAAATATGTTCTGGATATCCATGTACAATGATGTGGATATTAATACTACAGAACTACACACCTAAAATAGTAAAGATGGTAAATTTTTATGTTTTTAAACCACAATTTAAAAAGAAAGAAAAGTGGCAGATTATATGTTTGTATGTGTGTGTGTATGTTTTTATATATATTTATGTATATGTGTGTATCCTTAAAAGAGTTAATGGTTTAAAAATTTCAAAACTCTAGGGGCACCTGGGTGGCTTAGCCGGTTAAACATCTGACTTTTGATTTCGGTTCAGGTCATAACCTAAGGGTCTTGAGATCAAGCCCCACGTGGGGCTTGGTGCTCAGCGGGTAGTCCGCTTGAGATTCTCTCCCTCTGCCCCTGCCCCCAGCCCCCCCCAATTGTGTGCGCTCTAAAATAAATCTTTAAAAAAATTTCAAAACTCTATAAAATAATTATAAAGATTGATACCTGTAGGGCCAGTAGCAGCCTCTGAATGTCTGGGGATGACCTCTTGGCCCAAACCCGATCCCCTGCCCTAACAATGTTCACCTGTTCTGTTCTAGCTTCTGAATCATCATCTGCTGCCACCGTTAAGCATTTACAAACCATCTGAATTTCATGCAGATATCCTCTCTCAAGGGAAATGAGAAATCTTCCCCTTCCCACTCTAAAGGTGGAAATGCCCCAAGACAATTAAGTTCATTTCACGAATAGCTGTGTTGCTAATGATCAACTCGCCTCACCTTAATTTGCAGCTCCAATTTCCCTGTTTTCAAGTGATTTCTTTGAAGAAAGTATAGACTACCTTCCTGGCCTAGGGTGTTGGGCAAGTAAGCGTGTAGCTGTTTCAGGAAGAACCACAGAATCTGCTTTCAAAGTGGTCTTGATCTCTCATCATTTTTGATACAACAGGCAGATAAAGAATTCTGACTAATTTTTCCTTCTTAGCCAAAATTATTAAGACCATTTCTATGGTAAAATTTACTTCAGATGAAGTATTCTCCAGTGACTCTGTTACCCAATTCTTCTAGCATATTGGGAAATGACCCTCAATTTCCTGAGTAATAGCAAATGAGCCTCTTCTGCACAAACTACAAATATTCTTCCATTTTCTAAACATTTGGGTCTCCATATGATTTATGTGGTCACAAAGAGATTTCTTGTTCTCCAGTCATCCTACATGGTTCCTGCCTTGATTTATCTTCACTTTCCACAACCCATCGCTGGATTTCTTAGTTATGGTGCTTCTTCCTCCCCCTACGCTCATGCAGGCATTTAGTTGACCGATTATAGAATCACAAGGTTGGTTATAATTCCATTTCTCCATCCGACTTTGAACTTAAGTGTTCCAATTACTTTGCTTGATCCTAATAAGTCAGTAGCGTGCTAATGCTTGCCTTGATATTTCTGAAATATACAGGGTGTGATTAGCATGGGACTGCATCATTAGAAAGCAAAATGAAAGCGGGTGAGCAACATCATGGCTTGCATTTAAGCAAAGCTGCCTGGTCAGTGAGCTTACAATGTTACAACGATCCTAGGGATACTATACGCTGTGACTAAACTATATTGTATTTGGAAAATCCTCTGACACTTCAGAACCTTCTGTCTTTTGCTACTACTAGAAAAGATCCTAGAAAGATAAAACTAAAGGAAGGAAGGAAGGAAGGAAAGAAGAAAAGGAAAAAAGGAAAGAAGGAAGGGAGGAAAGGAGGGAGGAAGGAAGGAAAAATCTTTAGTCAATTCTGCTGGATTGCACTGACGTCCCTGGGCCATAAAGCAAGAAAGCTTTACGGTAAGCCTGCTGGAAGAAAAAAAAAATACTCATGCACACACACATTATCAAATGAGATGCTAAAGAACTACATTAGCATCAATGGTGTTATTTGAGTCTATTAAAAAAATTTAACCCCTTTGTATCTGTGTGTAACCAGGAAAAGTGTAAACTTTTGGAAACTAGCAGGAAAAAAAAGGAAACACTTTAAACTGGGAATGATTTGCAGCCAAATCAATTGATAAATAAAAGAAAAAAAAAGATGGTACAACTGAAATTGATGCCAAAGATTTATAAGGTTGACTAAGTAAACAAAAATGGAATGGATCACCATGGAAATGCATGAATATTGAAATAGGCAAGATTTGAATAGACTAATGATATGCCTCACTTAGACTGACAGGTGTTGATAACAACTCTGACACTCAATCCACACCAACATCCACACTTCTAACATGTTTATTCCTAGAAAATGGGAGCTGATTTAAAGGTTCCTTTGGTAAGAGCTTATAAGAAAAATACATTTTCTAATCTTAAAGGGACTAACTCAATTCTCATCTACTTGAAAAACAAGAAAGGTTTTATCTATTTGCTTTCTGGATATGAGGAGCTGCAGTTAGCAGAAGTCATTCTCTTGGGCTCTACTAGTCTTTGTTCCAATAAACCTCTCACAAAACTGAATTTTCAGTCTGGCTTATCTCCCACACTGGGTACTTGAAGTATGACCACCACTCATTAGAAACATAATTAAAAAGACACAACACTAGATCCATCCCCACCCCCCAAGCACATACAGATGAAAACCAATAACCCTTAATCTATTTGTTACCATAGCTACCATAGGATTTTTTTTTTTCAGTACAACTCTAGGTATTTCCTTTGGATTGTTGCTTGCAAATGAAAGTTGGAGACCTGTAAATTCCCGTTAACTGTGTAGAAATGGGGAGACTGAGCAGAAGAAAATGTTTTTCTTAATCATGGACCAATATGGTTTATAAGATGCTTGTACAGAAAAGTTATTAAAATTGGTTAAATGCATCAGCCCATAAGCCAATTTAAATGTCATTAAATTCATAGAGTTTCAGGACACATATGCTAGTAATTCCCTGATGATAAATCAAGAGTACTCAGAACAATGCATGGGACAGAGACTATATTCATCAGTGGCACACAGCTCCCTACCTGCATAAACACCTAGATGTGACTACTCGAATACATGCATACCAAGCAGCCCTTCAAGTATTCACCTGTGCATTAGAGGGCAACAATTTTACCAAGTGCCAGCATGAACAATCTGTAAAATTGTCCCTTACCCCCCTAAGAGTGAAAAAGTTAGCTCTATGCTTCCCCAATATAATTTTTTAAAACATCAGAAATGAAGTGGGCTAATTAAATCTGTCATTCACCCTACACCGAAATAATTCCTTAAATATGCTCTCCCAGGGCTGAGCTGGACATAAGACCATAGGCAAGGGGAGGAACTCTGTAGGGACCAGACAGATGACTTTCAAGAGACCGAAATTAGGGTAAATATAACTGTAACCAGGACAGATCTGTCACTGCAGGAGGAGTCCGAATCCCAGCGTAGCCCAACGTAGCTCGGCTGATGAGAGGCTGAAGCCTGCATCAGTGGAACCTGACTGTCCCTGAGCTGACGAAGTGGAAGTTTCGCGGGCGGCAGCAGCACGGTGTCCTCAACGGTCCGGTTCCTCCAGTGCCGAGGTCTTGCCTAATGCTACACAAATACCTGCGTCCACGATTCGCCCGGGGCCCGCCGCGGCGCAAGCACCGTAGGGCAGGAGGAGAGCGTTTGCAGAGCGGCAGGCATGGCAAAGGCGGCGGCTCCTTACCCATCAGCATCCCCAGGAACCCGCGGGAGGACCAGCCAACTGACCCTGTCTGCCGTTGGGTTCCAGAGCCCAGGAACAACAACTGGCTTCTCAGCTGGCGGACCCAGGCATCCGAGACTCGCGCTTTGCCCCCACCCCTCCTCCGTGACGGCTGGCTCCCCGCAGGCAGCACGTCCCCGCCTTCCGCAGCTAACGGAGCCCCGACGTGCCCCGGGAGCTGCCTGGGACCTGCCCCGGCTCTTGGCTCCGCTCTCCCGGCCCCGGGCGAGCGCGCCCCTCCCTCGGGGCCCCGGGCCCCGGGCCGGCGCTGCCCAGCGCCCGCACCGCGACCGCAGAAAAACCTCGCGCTCTCGGCCCGCTCCAGGCCACGGAGACCCAGACGTGAGCCCTCTGCCACCCTGCAGCCCCGCCGGGGTCGGGGCGCGCGTCCACACTCCCACATTGCACAGCTCGGGGTCCACACTATCCTACACATAAACAACCCCTCCCCACCCAACACCACATTCTCGTCCCTTCATCATCCCCATGGGCTCTCCTTTCCGCACCCCGAAACACGCTGGCACCCAAAAGGTGTTAAGGGAAGGGGGGGTCACAACCAGGTCTGTGCGGGTTCCCTCCTCATGACTTACAAGCTCCTCTACCTCGAAAGTTACTTGGGATTGAGTGAAGAGACCCAGTCCCCAAATGCGGGGTCTGAAGACAGGAACGGGCAAAACCCCAACCCCGCTTCCCGCTGCACAGAGGCGCGCGCCTCCCCAAAGGGCAGGGCGCGCGGCCGCCCCCGGGGTCCAGCCCTTCGGTGCCTCCTCCTGGCCCCCAGTCCGGCGCGGGCCCTGGGCCGCTCCGCGGAGGTGGCCTGGAGAGGAACGCGCACTGCCGGGCCCAGCCAGGGGGTGCCGGGGCCGGGGCCACACTCGCCTCCAGCATCCCCGACCACCGCGACATTGGCTCCGGGCAGCCCCAGTGCATACACACCCGGGGGCAGGAAGTTTTTCCCCCCCCTTTTCCCCCTGGAGTAGCGCAGGCGCAAGGGCTCCTGCAGCCTTGCGAGTCCAGACGCGGGAGGCTCCTACCGCCGCCGCCGCGGCCGCCGCGGGAGCCGAGCCCAGCGTTCCGGGTTCTCGGGCCCCGCTCCCAAACCCGGCCCGGCCCCGCGCAGCCGCCAGGACCCGGGGTCCCCGGCGCCGCATCCTTGGCGCCCCAGCCTGGCTCTTACCTCTGGCTGCGCCGCTCCGGCCCCGGCCCGACGCCCAGAGAGCCGGGGGTCGCGGGTGGGCGCAGGAGGGCTGATGGATAGGGGACGGCGCCGGCGGGTAGCGGTAGCTGGGGCCGCTCGGGTCCTGGCCGGGAGAAACGGATCCAGGTCCACCTCCTCGCGTTCCTGCTCTCCGCCTTCTCCCCCTTTTCCTTCTCCTCCTCCTCCTCCGCCGCCGCCTCCCGGCAGCCCAGGGAGGATGCCCGGGAGAGGGAAGTCAGTCCTTCTGCCTGTCAGCCTGTGCGGCTACGCGCGGCGCGGCTCTCACCGAGGCGGCGGCGGCGGCGGCGGCTCCGGCAGCATCGCCCCCGCCCTCTCCCCGCAGCCGCGGCGGCCGCGGGGCTGGGGCTGCTCCGGGCTCGGGCTCCGGGCGGGGGCTGCGCTCAGGCGCGGCAGCCGCCGGGGCTGCGGGCGGGCGCTGCGGAGCCGGGGCCGGGGCTGGAGCTGCAGCTAGATCCGCGGCGGCGGGGACGGCGGCGGCGGCGCGGGGGCTGGCGCGGCCGCGGCGCGGGGACCATGCTCCCTTCTGGCTCGCTCCGCTCCGGGTACCGTCTTCTTTAGCTGCGAGGGAGGCGGGATTCGGCGCGCAGCCAGGGGCGGGCGGAGCCAATCACTGGCGCCCGAGTGGGCGGGGGTGGAGGGTGGGGGAGGCGGGGCGCCCCCGGCAGGGCACCCGGAGCTGCTCCCCGGACCTGAGGGATACCCCGCAGCGGCGCGCCCGGCCCGGGCCGGAGTACCCGCGGGTATGTCCGTCCGTTCGTCTGTCCGTCCGTCCGCCGCCCCCGTCCCCCTCCCCCCTCCCGCGGCGGCTCCCGGCTCGCGGGACTCGGCAGCCGCGCCCGGTGGATGCGCGGCGCGTGGCCCCGGCTGCTCGGCCCCGGCCTCCCGGCCTCGCCTGCCCAGGGTTGGGGGACGCGGCCGAGGGAGCTCCCCGGCTGCTCTCAACACCTGAGGAAACTGGCAGGAAAGTTTGAGCACGAAAAGTCCAATCGTCTTTCAGCTTCCTCCCTCCCTAGGACACTCCAGCCACGGAAAGAAGCAGGAATTGTTCAAATCTCTGAAGAACCGCGACTAGCCCGCCCATCCTGTCCAGCGACCCTCTCGTCTGTCCAGACTCGACTCTCCCCATTGCACGAGGACTTTCCTGTTTACACTGACCCACTGGAATCCACCCGACCTCTCTGTTTAGTCAGCCCCTACTCAGGCCACACCAGCCTTGCATGTCTACACTGACCACCCCCCCGCCCCCCGCCACATACACACATGCCACCACGGTCTACACTGACTTTCTTAGCCCCTTCACCTCTCTGTCTACACTTGCTGTCCACACAGACCCTAACGTCAACCCTAATAGGAAAGTGTTTGGCTGGAGGCCCGTGGCAGCCCCCAGTGCGGGATTTTCCATTATGCCAGAACATTCCATTTCAGCACCAGTCCTCCCTGGTAACTCGCCAGCTCTGTTTTTTATTCCCTGACCTCTCCTTCCTCCCCTACCTCCCCCTCGTCTGGTTTTGAATTTCAGAGGAAATATAGCCCCTACCCCCAGCCTGAAGGTAAGGGCTTGTGGGTTTCAGCCTCCTCCCCTCACCCCCGCACCCTCCGCTCCCCGTGACGGAGCTGCAGAGGCCTGAGGCCTGGGTAGCAATTGGGGAGGGCGTGTGGTAAAGTAGGGAGCTGCTGGCTCTTTGGCTGGAACTGGGAGGAGCGGGCCTGGAGCGGGCTCTGCCGGCCCGCCCTCATCCTCTGGGGGCGCCGGGCAGCGGGAGCCCTCTGTCCGCAAATCCCCTGCGCTCGCTTCACTCCTGTGATGTCTGAATCCAGGCCTCTGCTCTCCTTGGCTGTAAACTCAGTGCAGGGATTGTGTCTTCTTTAATATCTTGTAGGAAGCAGAGTACAGTGTGGCGGCTGATAAATAATAAATAATAATAATCTACTGAGGGTAGCAGGACTGTCAGTGACAGGGAATGAGGACACCAGGGAAATGGCACATTGGTGTAAGAGTAACTGCATTTCCTGGAAAAAGAAAAAAAATGGAATAAAGTTTTGGTGTGTGAAGCCTGGGGACAGGGGAGGGGACAGGGCAAAGCACTGCCGGTAGGACTCCACCCTGGATGAGGGGGTCAGATGGGAAAAGTGGTGTGTCTTTTAGAGAGAGTGACAGAGGGGTGTAGTGGGGGACTAGGGGAAGGAGAGCTCCCCAAGGGTCCTCAACAAACCTGAAGGAGGAGATGTGGCCTGAATGCTAAGTTGTTAAAATGGTGTATAAACAGTGATTGAAGAGTGCTGTGATAGGAAAACGGAGAAAAGGGGATTACTTGGGATTTTTTAAAAGGTAGGTAACAGGTAACAACAGGTAACACCTCAGGCAACACAAGGCCAAGAAAAGGAGAGTAAAGGCGCAAGGTGAGTCCGTGTTCATTCGTGTTGTAGGAAGCCACCCTCTGAAATGATCCGCATGGACCCCCCACGTGTGAACATGTGGGAATCCACTGGGCTACGTTCTGCAGCAGCGCCGTACCCGACAGTGTAGCTGTGGGCATCATGGAAGTGTAGCTAAGGTCTAGGATCGGTTAAGTTTGCACGGTCTAGGATCGGTTAAGTTCTGGCAATTTGAGGCACTCATAATGTCTTCGAGATCATTTTGAGTGATCCTCAAATGAAAGAAGGAAAAACACACTCCATGAATCCTTCCTCAGTGGCATCCCTAGGTGAAGGTATGAGGATTCTCCCGGTTTCCCTGCTGGCCTTATCAGAGGGGAGAAGCCTTGTTGTATCCCCATCTACACAGAAGAAGACCACCTTTGGCTTCTGTGTGAGGGTGCCAGTCCCAGAGTGTTGCGGTTCCTCCAGGGTTCAAACTAGAT